AACTTCGTAAAAGTGCGGGGGGCCAGGGACAGCCCGAAGGGAAGGACCGTGTATTGATAAGCCACTCCCTCGAAAGCGAATCTCAAGAATCGCCTGTGACGGGGGGCTATCTGGATGTGAAAGTGCACATCCTTCAGGTCCAGAGAACAAGAACCAGTCCCCTGAGCGAATTTGCGCAAGGATCTGTTTCAGCGTAGTCATCCTGAATGACCTTTTCATGATTCAGGTGCCTGAGATCGAGGATGGGCCGGAGGCCACCATCCTTTTTGGGTGCGAGGAAGTAACGGCTGTAGAAGCCCGACTCGCTCTGAGGTGGAGGAACCGTTTCTACAGCTCCTTTTGCCAGCAGATTCATCACCAATGAGCGCAGGACGTGAGCGTCCTTGCTTTGCACTAAGGTGGGGACCACGCCGCTGAAGTGCAGGGGTCTTCGAGCGAACTGGAGTGAATATCCTCGTTGGTTGGGGGTGGGGTCGGTCACCGAGCTCAACAGCTCCTCTGCATCCGAGGCTGTCAATGACATGCTGTCATCAGGCAGCTCATCCTCACTTCCCCCAAATGAGACCAGATCGCTCGTGCAGGCAGAGGGACGCTGGTCAGACTGGGAGAAGAGGACGGGAGAACTCTCTCTCTGGGGCGAGGGTGAGGCACGCGGGATCTGGGCCGACGTGAGCTCGCTCGCAGCCGGACGAGGCACGCGGGATCTGGACCGGCGTGAGCTCGCTCGTGGCCGATCGCTCGACCCCTTTGCCCCGCTGTTTTTTTCCTCACAGGTCCCTGGGAGGAAGAAAACGGGAGGGCGCGAGGGGCGGACAATCAGTTCCCGTGAGCACAGCTTCCGCGTGGGATTTCCCCAAGCAGGAAACGCACTCCGAGTGGCCGTCATCGGCGTGCAGGGGAGACCCTCGCGAACCGCTGTAACGGCGCGGCATTTGCAACAATGCCAAGCTCTTTTAGTAGCTCTTTTAGAATTGCCGGATGGCGGCAGGGGAAATGGACCGGAACTGCTCCGCTGCCGACTCATTGGTTCATTGTTTATACACTGCACGAACCAATGGCCGTGCAGTTTCACTGCATGATTGAAAAAAGGCTTCAGTTCAGGAGAAAAAAGGCTTTTTCCCATAGCGTATTAGCAGACGCAGTACGAGTGTAGTATCGACAGGGAACTATGTTTCCCTTTCATGAGAACTTCGAACTGCGTCCTCTAGGGGTCGGAACCATGGTTACATAAGTAACCTGAGACGTTCTTCTTAGTTTTTTCTTATCAGTTTTGTACATTAGGGTTTTATGTTACATCTAATGTTGTTAAATGAATGTTTATTGCATTATTTCAGTTTCATGTGTGTTACCATGATGGTGTTTAGTGTTTGTGTGAATGACACTGTGCACCTTCTATATATGTTAATATTTAAAAGCTGCTTGTGATGGGCTTTGGTTCATCATGTGATTTTCTCATCACCACCTGCTTTTGGTGGTCATCAGTGTATTACAAAGGTACAAACAGATTTCAGTACTTCAATAGGTTGGTAAATGAACATTATATCAGTTAATAATGAAATTACAGTATTTAAATGTAAATTTAAGTTAAAACCATAAAACCTAAAATGTTGCTACCGTATTTTTTTCAGTAAAAATTCTGTAAAAACTGCATTAAAATATAACTGCATTTGGTCTGCATTTTTTGAATTTCTTCAAGTAATTTATTTATTCAAAAAGACTATAATTACATTTTACATGTATCACCTCAAGAGGAATATGTAGAGTTGTTTACAACTTAGAATTACATATCATAAGACTTGATGATTTTTTTCTAAGCAAAAAGATAAGCAATGTAAGTATGTACATGTATGTAAGCAAATGGCTCACGTCCCACTAGTTTATTTTTATATACTAGTACTACTGTATGTTTGTATGTACTGTACTGTATGTCTGTAGATGTAATAGTGTATTTTGACCATACTTACAGGCAGAGGCTGATGCTGCAGTAACAGACTGAGGTTGGCTGTGGCTGGTGCTGTCAGAGTGTCTGCCCTTACATGGCCCCCAGAGAAGATGACTGGTGCAGTGGCAGGCTTCGGCCTGTATGGAATTGTGGCACCTTTGGGTGGGGACTGGCAAAGGTCAGTGGAGGTCAAATAAAGATAGAAAAGACGGAAATTAGGAAAAATAAAAGTGAGGGCAAACTATAATAGTACGTAGTAGAAGCAGTAGATGCTTATATGGTTACCAAAATGAGATAAAAAGTCAATGAGGTTTGACATTAATTGATATTTGAGGTTTATGTCGCAATATTTAATATATACAGCATGTGTATGCATGTGCTGATCAATGTTTGGATTTGATCTGAAAGTGGATAGTGTTAGATTTCTATCTGTTCATTACTTTAGCTTTTTGCAGCTTGAGAATTGTCCCCAGAAGACAGAAAACCATTCAAGTTTGGAACAACATGAGATTGAGTGTTGGGTGAACTATACCTCAAAGCATCTGGCTTTTTTCTATTCCTTACCTCCAACATGACCACACAGATCTGCTTCACACACTGGATAATGGCCTCTGGAGCACCTGAGATAGTGACTGCCCGCTCAGTAGAATTGGGCAACATGTCTCCAGCCACTTGCACTTGAGCCCCTGTAGACTGGAGAAAAAGCACAGCACATTCAGCCAGGATAGAAACCCTTGGAACAAAGCACTATCTGTTTAATCCAAGTAAAAATTGATAGTTTTGCTGTTGTCTCGGGGTAGCAATGGCATTCCAAGGGTTTACAGGATAAAACCCATTGGAACAAAGCACTACTTCTTGTTTAATCAAAGTAAAAATGTATAATTTTGCTGTTGTCTTGGAGTAGCATTGGCATTCAAAGGGTTTCCAGGATAAAACCCCTTGGAACAAAGCACTACTACTTGTTTAATCCAAGTAAAAAAGTATAGTTTTGCTGTTGTCTTGGAGTATCAATGACATTCTGTGCATATACTGTGCATTAAAATAATTGCTGCACTTTATGAAATATGTGGATCATAAAGAAATGATAAGATTGAACATACCTCCCTCATCTCCTTGATCTTGGAGCCTCCTTTCCCAATTAGAGAGCCACACTGACTGGCCGGCACCACCAAACGCAAAGTCACCGGAGGCTTACTAGTAGCCTGGCTATTGCTCATAGAGTTAATGATATCCTATGTAGAATCAAAAAATCAATTACAATTACGTTACAGTTTTAATTGATTTCTTTTGGGGTTTTACTAACACTTTTATTAGAAAAAGTTCTCATACTCCCTCAAACTTGTATGCGATCATAGCAAAGGCCTTGAATATGGCATCTGTGGGTCCTGTGATGGTAACTATTCTCTCTGGGCAATTCCCATCTGAAATATTTATGCGTGCATTACTCTGTAGAAACAGTTTGCGTTGTTTGTTAATAACCATGTTACACTTATCACAGCAACTAACATTATTTGTAACGTTACTTACATCCTCACGCATCTTCTTCACAGTTTCCCCTTTCTGTATAGAATAATTACATTTTTGATAAAATGCAGATGTTAATGATTGTAAAAATTACATTTCTACTAAATACATGTTAAAATTCATATAGTTCATTCAGAAAAAAGAGACTTTTACAAACTCAAGTATTTGTAAGCTTTGTCTTGGTGGCTGAATGTGTCTTTTTACCTTGCCTATAATGCTGCCAACCTCCTGCAAGATAAAAAAAAAGATAATGTGTTTATTGTAGTAACAAACTTACAATCGATTTATTGCGCAATATATCTAACACATGGGTGCATAACACAAATAAATATGGGAAACCAAGTACCATTAAAACATTTTCGGTGATTGGAAAGATCCTTTGAGATTAGGAGAGACATTTTTGTCCTCTTACAAAATATAGTACTATGTCCACAATCTGTTCTTTATGACTGGTAGAATGATTACCATGGTGCAGTAAATTGTGTATGTGGAAGTTTTAGATTAGAGGCATGTTGTTCTTTTACCTTGCCGTGCATGAGGAGTCTGATAGTCAGAGTGACATTGAGCCCTCCTTCAGACTGAACTTTGTTGGGCTCCATGGTGATTTAGGACTGGTTGAATTAGTTAGGAACTCACAGGAGCAGTTAAGGAATGCAGGGGCTGGTGGTCACCACACAATCACCTTCAAATTTGAAAGAAGCAAACAAAACAACCTTACATATTCATATTTTAATTTTGAAACAAAAGCAGATTAAAACCCATCAAGAAATTGGTTACCTCAATCCATTTAAGGTTTAAAAACCAATAGTAATGTGTAGTGTGGACTTATTTCATTTGAGCTCACTGAAAAAGAATACTTCGTAAAGGGGACATCGGATGCAAAATTCACTTTTACATGGTGTTTGCATATAAATGTGTCTTAGCAGTGTGTGGAAAAAAATCACCCTACAATGATAAAAAATCCATTCACTCCATTTTTTTAACCCCTAAAAAACCTAAACAGTCCCAATTACGAAACGGTTTTGATTTTAGGCCCCACCCACGACCACTGAGCATATTTCCACCCTCAGCCAGTTGTACGCTGTCCGGTGTTCAGACGATTTGTGCTACCCGCTCAGATTGTGCTACCTCCCATTAAAAAAATAGGTAGCACAAATCGATAGCGAAAAATGCTACTTATCAGATTGTGCTACCAGCATTTTATTAATGTGGTTTGAGGCTTTTTTTAAAGTCCATACCTACCCCTACCCTAAACCTACCTGTCCATACCTACCCTTACCCTAAACTTACCCTTAAATCAATGCAAATATACTGTATTTTTGGTAGTGACACCTTTCTGAATATTATTGTTTTTTTTTTTGGTATTTTTTATCAAATAAATGCAGGCTTGATGAGCAAAATAAATTTCTCTCAAAAACATTAAAAATAGTAATTGTCATGAATCCAGTCCATGGACTTTCATCCAATGAACACAAGAGGTCGCTCTCTCACCATATTGACATTTACTCCACATAGACTGTCACGCATCACTATGGACTACATCTCCCATGCTCCACTGCACTGATTGCGCACTCACCTGTATCCAATAACTCACACTATACAACACCAGTGTCAATTGCAGTGACTGCTCTAAAATATGAAACTCCAATGTTTCAGGAGTTTAGAACATGCTTATTCAATAACTCTTTTATTTCCTATATGGGTTTATGTATAGCCTAGGGATGCAGTATCGGTATCGGGCTGATACTGAGCTTCTGTACTCGTTAAAATGCCCCGATACCAAACGCCGATACCACACAGCATGTGATCATTGCCATATTCAGACAAAGAAGCACTGACAACAGAACAACAGACAGCAGAATGGAGTTATAAGAGATCAACATCTGCACTAATATTAATTTTTTCCCAATCATAATTCGATAACTCGTAAAGGAATTCTTGTTCTGAGAAATGCTTCATGTTACGCTTGACTATAATGTGTGGTTTAATTTTAGGTATTTTAGTATTTCTAACTGTTGCTACGACACAGTGGTCACTAATGTCGTTTGCAAATATGGAAGCTGTTGAGTACTTATGAGGAACGTTAGTTATAATCACATCTATTAGCGATGACTTTTCCGGGTTTTTGAAGTTTAGCCGTGTGGGACTGTCAACAATCTGAAAGAGATTTAATGAATCACAATAAGCTCTGAAATCATCAGATACTGGCTGTAACCAGTTCCAATTTAGGTCTCCAAAGGCTACTAATTCCTTATAATATTACATAGGACCCGGGCATCCAAAAGAAAAAACAGGCCTAGGTATAATAACAAAGTCCAGGTCAGTGACGGAAAAATCCAGTACGGGTTATCCGTTTCTCAGTGGCGACCGATGATGCTGCGTTTCGTCACTCGTAAACAGGAAGCCCAGCGAGTGAGGCAATGCTGCAGGCAAAAAAAAGTCAAAATCAAGGCCAGCCGCCTCTAAAACATCAGGCTATATCTCAAAAACCAGCAGCAAGAACAAGAAAAGAAAAAGCACTTTCCTTCATCATGAAGAGACCAGACCCATCAAACTCAGCGACACGTCCGCACCCGAGATCCAACAGGCAAGCATGCCCCAGGCACCGACCAGCCAGCTCGAGCCAGATCCCCCAGAAACGGCGAAAAAGCAAACCACAGCTCCAGGTAAATTTCCGTACCAGCTTGATGGTCCTAACCACTTGTTCAGACTGGGATTATACGGATACCGTGCGTTTTTAAAATGCACTGCTAGAACTAGCGCAGTGCCAGTTCACTGAAGATGTCAGTCTCGACTTAAACTATACGGATTTGCGTCATAAAACAACCATCGAGTGTGACGAATTCCGACTCTATATTATAGTTATATTTTACGAACGTTCACAAAATGAATAGTTGGCAAATATCCCATGAACAAACAAACATCAACCACTCAATCACGCACAGACAGAAAGACATGCCACCATCTTGATTCAAGAGTATCTGGACATTGCGTGTTATTCTGATTTGCCAGACTGTGTACTGATAGACTTTTTCTGTGATGGAGTAAATTAACCTTTAAAGTCACGATTAACCCGTGAGGGTCCACGTTCTTCTCTAAGCTATTTTTTGGATTTTGCTCTGCTGTGTGTCGACTCCGTGTTCACGGTGGGTGTTGCGGAGAAACATGACACCGAGTCCACTTGTGTAAAGGCGGCCGCACTAGAGTACTCTCACAACATGGCAACAGCACAACAGCGCCCGCTATGTCACAGCTGATCTTCATGAGTCAAGTCGAGTCACGGAGTCAAGTCAAGTCACCGTTGATCTTCCAGAGTCAAGTCACCGTTGATCGTCATGAGGCAAGTCAAGTCACCGTTGATCATCATGACGCAAATCAAGTCGCAGCTGATCTCCCTGAGTCCAGTCAAGTCACAGTTCATCTTCATGAGTCCAGTCAAGTCACAGCTGATCTTCCTGTGTCCAGTCAAGTCACAGTCGATCTTCCTGTGTCCAGTCAAGTCACGGTTGATCTTCAAGAGTCAAGTCAAGTCACAGCTGATCTTCCTGAGTCAAGTCAAGTCACAGCTGATCTTCCTGAGTCAAGTCAAGTCACAGCTGATCTTCCTGAGTCAAGTCAAGTCACAGCTGATCTTC